CCCACTATAAATTCGCATGTGCAATAACCTCTCGCAGCGACCGCTTGGGGCAATGGTAGCGCATTCGACTCCAGATCGTACGGTTGGGCGTTCGATCCGCTCAGTAGTCACACCTTTTTAGTAATTAATACCGAACTAAGATTACTTTACAAATGCATTACTGCAATGAACACACTATAATTTTGCCTGTGCAGTAACACTACCTAGCGACCGCTTGGGGCAATGGTAGCGCATTCGACTCCAGATCGAAAGGTTAGGCGTTCGATCCGCTCAGTAGTCACGCCTTTTTAGTCATTATTACCGAACTAGGATTACTTTTCAAATGTATTACTGCACTGAACCCACTATAACTTTGCCTGTGCAGTAACTTCGCCGGCCCAACGATTCCGCAATGGCAGCGCGTTCGACTCCGGGTGGAAAGATTAGGCGTTCGATCCGCAAAGTGGTCAAACCTGTGCAAATATTATCATTGAAGCAATAATGCTTATTTAAATCTATTATAGCAGGGAATTCACTTTAAAATGGCCTGGAAGGAAACGTTGCTTGGCGCAATGGTATTGGGTTCGAGTCCTTGTCGAAAGGTTGAGCGTTCGATCTGCTCATTCGTCAAACCTTTGCAATCATTATTACCGAAGCTAGAAATACTCATTTAAATGTATCATCGCAAGGAAGGCTCTATAACATGGCATGTGCGGTCGCCACATTCGGAGACCGATTTATGCAATGGTAATGGGTTTTATAGTGTTTTTGAAACACGCTGTGAGACTACAGAGAACTACTATGGCTAAACCAGCAAAGCTCCGAGAAAACCAAATTATGCTGAACTCCGCACGACTAGTGACCTTGGGCTATCCAATTATCCAACTAAGCAAACATATATTTGGATACTTGTATGACTCCTCTTCACTGGTTGTGCAGGCCCTGGGATTCCCCTAATTTCCTGGTTTAGTCATTTTTCTTATCTTGAATCGCGAACTCAACCTAGTGGAAGCCTTCTTCAGATCGTCACCAGCCCAGGCAGTCGCAGCCCTTGTGAATCGGAGAGGCATTTGCCACCATGCGACTGGTTACTAGGACGGTGGTGATTCCTGGCATTCGTTTGCTCTTAACTGGACTTCTGAATGGAAATACCGACTGCTTCCTAGTCTGGAAAGCTGTGTTGAAAGAATGAACCACCCTGCATATCGCAGCCGAGGAACACATTCGAGCTACGACGAGGCAGTAAACCGTTGGGAGGTATGTGAAGAGGGGTCGTCTCAATATCGAATGAAATAAGTGATCAATGAATCAATCAAACGTAATGCGTTTGGAATGGAAATTAGTGAAAAAACAATGCACTCAATCACACTATCTGCGTTTTGGTTCAACTCCCCATAATAACGAAAGAACAAGCTCAACTTAATTGTTCCAACGAAAAGCGAAGCCATAAGAGCCGTAACAACAATTTGTGCAGAAACATCTTACAGAATCGCTTTCATAGAACGTATGTGGAAAAAGTAGTATTTATAATGCACCGGTCGAATTTTTGTTAAACCACCGTCGACGATACTGCAATTCTGTGAAGCTTACAGAAACTGTTAGCCAACAACAACGTCGCCTGAGCACCATTCGGTACCACCACCTAAAATATCGGATTGGCAGCAATTAGATGTGTCTTACCACCACATGGATCCCTAATGCGCAGATAGTGCAGCTTGGCATACACTGACTTCAAATTCCTTCATTTTTATCTTTGACAAATGATCAAACCTCTATACAAACCAAATTGCTCACTGGCAAGGAAGTGCTACACTTTTAACAAAAACTACAAACTATCTATGAGACCTCACAGCGCCTTACGTTATTACAAGTCACCCAGGGCAGCCACACCGTCACCTTATCGACTAGGTTAACGGAGATAGAAATAAAAGTCAACCAATATAACAAGTTATTATCATCCTAGAAAGTGGAACTTCGTAAACATTCCCCTGATTTCGAAACATCCAAGTAATCACTGAAATGGGCGTGCTCACCTTTACAGAGACTATTCACTGCCTTGTAGAAAATAATCTCTATCCTCCTATACCATATAGACAATACTTGTATGATGCCTCTCTCCTCACAATACATCATGACTCCATTAGAAAAGCCCTACGATTTTGTTATTACGACTCCTTGCTCACACTTGTTCTCTATATTGATGACGTTACATAGAGGTATGTATATCTGTTGACCTCGTTCGCTCAATTACCCAAGTTTCCAGTTGCCAACTGCGGCAACTAGAAAAACATCACATGGTTGGCGGAAAGCAGAAAATCACACTATCACTCACGAAAATTAGCGAAGGCAAGCCAAAATCCATAAATTTTACACTTGGAAACTATTATTTTAGAAAAGGTCCCAAATTACAAAAAAAAATTACCACATGCAGAAATTGTTTCAAAAAAGCATCGCTCATTTTATTACACGCCTTTTCATGGCAATATTATAAATACCAATCGACAAACACTAGAATGATCTAAGTATGTCTCCAATTATTTCAACTGTACATAGCCTAAATCTAAACACACTGTGAAATTACGTAGGTCGAGAACAGTTTAACACACTGTGACATGATGGTAATGGATAACCGCACTATTCGTAGACATCTTCGCGTTCACAGATGTACTTAAAAACATCACGAGCGTTCTTCAACTTTTCAGAATCCTCTATTGGAATTTCAAAGCCAAACTCGTCTTCAATCGCCATCATTATCTCCACCTACAACAGCCATTAACTACACTTCCAATCGGGTTGTTCTTCAATCATCAAACGGCAGAAATCCGTCTCACGAAAAAACAGATGTGAAGTCAGAGTTCAATGATAAAATCACCTGATCTAACGAATCAAAACCTAGATCCTTCTGAAAGTCGGCTTCAATTTTCAATAAAGCTTCTTTGTCAGCAGGAAATCGATCCCAGGCACGAATTGCTTTAAGTACGCGAGATTCCACCTAATTAAAACATATCATTGAACAAGAAAGGAATCCAGAATCACTACATAACAGTGTAAATGAAATATTTATGTCATATAGAGTAGTTCTTGGTTAAGATCCAATGCCTCATAGTGCAGACCTTTAGAATAGTGCAATAGAGCATTATTCCAACATACGCGCTATTTCTATGGACACTCCCTGCCTTAACTAAATTTGTCACCCAAGTAATTTCCACAAACAAAGAACTACTCACAACGCATATACGTTAATTTATTGAAAAGCTAACACGGTTTGTTATCAAACAGTTATTCGTCTAACGTTCCGATGTCTTCGTCTTCATCAGAGCCGATGATCCGAGTCCATGGTCCATAATCGTTCGTCTTCTATAAGGAGAAAATACGACTCGATACGACGAAGCCGCCATTTCGAGAAGATCAACAACTGTGGATATCGACTCGGATCATCGTTTCAGAGGAAGACAAAGATATGGAAAAGTTAACAGAATAGATGTTTGACAAGAACTTCGTGTCAGTTTACCAATGAAACAAGGCACATTGGTTATTTACAGCCAAGTTAAATAAGTCAGTTTACAATGGTATCACTAAATACAACCACAACGTTGCTGAGATATTTGCAAAACTCTGGACCGCAGGTGTCTATGGTGGGGGACGAACGCGCTATTATCCTTTCCGGGGAGTAACGCGTTCACCACCACACCATGCGGGTCCTTCGTTTCGCATGTCTCTCAGCTATTTCTATCGATCTTTTTACCACAGCAATCACCCGTCAGCGGGGTTGATCTGGGGAGCGCAAATCGGCATAGAACCCAGTTAAGCTATGGGTGTAGTTGAAATCACAATGTTTAACGTTTTGTTTTCTGCCTTCTATAATTTTCATGGCAGGTTACTAAGCGAAATACAACCACAGCGTTATACGTTTAGTGACAACGTTGTGGTTGCATTTCGCTTAGTAACCTGCCATGAAAATTATAGAAGGCAGAAAACAAAACGTTAAACATTGTGGTATCACTAAACATAACGTATTATTTGATGAATGTTATCAAAGCTCAAAATTTTCTCAAAAGCAGTTTTGACGAATTGCTAGTAAAAATGTGGTTAAAAAAATTTGGCCTTGGCCCGAAACGTCTTCTGAAATACGATAAATAAAAGATTGCAGTTGTTGGACATGTCAGTAGAAAGAAATACAGCAACTTGACAAGTTAAATCACACCATTGTCCAAGTACGTCGTCATAGACATCAAGAGACGAGTTCGACAAGGTGATACTTCTATGGCAAAACTATTCAGTGACACTATTTCTAAAGATGTCACATGAAAATTGGAATGAGATAGCATAGGAGTAAAAGTCGACGGTCGGCAGCCAAGTTCAAGGGTACGCTTCAGAGATGCCATTCAAACTCAACGTAACAACTTAACATTTGTGAAGGCTTCATGTACCCATAATTAGGACGACAAATCACTATAGCAAGCGACATGTTTGAGTAGAAGGAATCGCAAGACATAGGGAGAACTGAACAATTTCTAAGTCCACCGACTAGGCAGTGAATAAGATAAAACAAACCCCGCTCCAGATCACTTATTCTGCTACATGGACCTTCTCACAATAACTCTTCGAAAACCTGTACACTACTTAATCAGAATAAAATTTATAACTACCCCTATCAAAGATCTGGTGAAAAGATAATGCGAGAGCTATCATGCAACAAGCATCCGGGAAACAGGAAACGGAGGTGCTCAAGCTTGATCACTCAATCCTACGACGTCCTTTCCTCTCCTCAAGTAAGCACACTTTAATGGGCAACCCAAAAAGGCGAGAAGTGGGGATGGAGGCTGTAGTCACGTAAGCTAGAATCACAGGTATTAAAGCAAGGAAGGGTGACAACCACGAACATGAATAACAGGTCCTTCCTACGCTATGTTTAAACCAATAATTGCTTGCAAGATTTCCATTTCAAACGCGTAGCAAGGTTACAGAGCAAACATAAAAATAAAGAAGGTTCACTCTATCATATCGAAGTCTTTTCACATCGAAATTCTATTTCGTTTTACGATTTTCAATGTTCTCTAACAGAAATAGTACCTCTTTAAATGTCAGATTCTTTGGCGGATCAAATGGCCCATAAACTTCGACCTGACGGAACCTTAAATATGTTATTACACATTCTAAAAGAATTTGGTGTCTATATTCCCCATTGTTTTGCGATTCGTGGTTAAATGTTATGTAAAACTTAATCACCTTTTTCCTCTTTCTAAATGCTTACCTCTCCATTAAAAAACTTGCTTGACACGGAGACTCAATATCTGCACACATGCAAAGATATGATTCAATTTGTAAGTTCCACATACAAATGTAGAACATTATTCTTCTAGACTTTACTTCATTCCAGTTTTAAAAAACAACTTTTCGCCACTATAGTAGTATATCATTTGAACGCGCAAATAGAGTGCTTGAACGTTGTCTTCTAAAATATAACCGGTACACCCAATACCTAGCCAGAATGCGAAGCTCTGATCTTCGAAATCTGTCACATCTTCGGGATCCAGAAGAATATACATCGATAGCGAAACACAGATAGCCCGGTCACATAATGAAAAGAATGAACGACAGATAGACGAGAAGAACTGTAGAGTGAACTCCACGAGAACGCAAGCGTCTCCAAAGATGGGCGGACGTGTTCGTAACCAAAGTTAGTCGGCTCTGCTGCAACTGTATTTGTTTTGCAGATCACGGTATAACATTCGCACTGGTCACCATGTTCGAATAAAACCACTATCGTGGACGACGACTGTGAGGGAAAGAAGCCAATGTGCTGGAGTCCGCACAACTCGTGAAAATAGACCGTCCAAGTATCCAAGCATCTTAGTAAGTATTGTAGCATATCACATAGCTAGTGTATTTACTCACCGTTTCTGATTAAGCAGTTCATCGAACGGTGCAGTGAGACGACTAACTAATGTTGACGGTGATATAGCTATAAAGGCGAGACCACGATGGAAACCACCCATGCACCTGATCCAATTTGCCGATCGACTTAACATCTGGAATACAATGAACACCATAATAAGGACTGAAATTTCTTTACGGTAAGATTCATAAAGAAGAACACAACCTAACTAGGTGCCACACTTTCAGTCTAGAAAACCATAATAATATAATGAATGTAAACCATTGAAGTTTGAGAAATTTCATAGACGATTCATGAGCCACTCCGTAATTACTAACCTTCTTTAACGTCATTATAAGAACACTGAACATTAAAAGAAACAACATTGAACAGCCACTCCTGTTGCTGGAACTACCGAAGACCTCTTCAACGCTTCCATCAACAACTTAACGCACTGATAATGAAGGTGGTTCTTCGACAATTGCCGACAATTTTTCGACAACTAAAGCAAAGTGGAACAGCACTGGTTAATTTTCCAAATCTTGCCAATTCGCCTAGAGTGTACATATTATTGCAAAATCCTAATAACATTCTTACTTGGATGCTTGCATGGCTCGTCTTCACTAGTTGTGCGGAGCCCAGCACAAATTCAAATATTTTTTCGGAGTTTTGTAAGTTTAACCATTGTGGTTGCCTAGAATCTCGAGGTCATTCTAACCAAAGTTTGCCTCAGGTTTTCGCCACCACGGGCAATTGCCGCCCTTATGGATCAGATGGAGACCTGCCACTCTGTGACTAGTTTGATACCAGGACGGTGGCGGATACTGGTATTGGTTTACTCTTAACTGGGCTTCCTGATGGAAACGTCAGGTCCCTCCCCAGCTTCGGAGATCCTGTTGGGGCAGCGAATTCCCCGCTGTACATCACAGCCCGACATCGAGGAACACCCCCCAGCCACGATGAGGCAATCAACCGTTGGGGGCTAAATAAATTCTAACATTACTCAAAGTTTAGGTTCTTAAAGAACTTAATGCAAACGCAAGTAAACATCAATAACACATTCAGGGACTTCAACGCGATCTGCTAGGCAGATATCGCGATCGTTCAGCTGTTCGACTAACAAACATCGTAGAAAAAAGCGAATGAGTAGGGTCCCCCATAGAAATCACTACTTCACATTGGTAGGAAAAGAAAGTAATGAAGAACACTATGTCGTATTAGCAAAGACCTGCAAACTCGCCCCTATCTCCATTCATAAAGTTCATTATGAGCAAGGATATTTCTATGCAGTTGGGAAAAGATCAGAAAAAACCAAATTCGTGTAGTCGGACAATAACCACGTTCAACACAACCACTAATGATACTGAGATATAAACAAAACTCGGGAACACATTTGATTTGCTCTTACTAACCATCACACTAACGGAGGTTATTGCTTTGTCCTGCTTTCAACCATGTTTTAACTCTACCAGTCAATTGGATGATCTGAGTAACATTAATTGGCACTGAACCCAATTGAACTGAAGATGTAGCCGAAAGCACAAAACTAAACCTTTCATTTACTACCTCTCCTAAGAAAAGGCATCAAATAAGAACTTATTAACCGCATCTCGCAGCAACCCACTAACGAATGCAGTTTCTTCTGAAGAGCTTATTGAGATCGTATTGGAGATGAGTTCTCATCGCGAGGATTGTATGGGAAGACTCATACTTCATACTATTATTTAAGTCATCTAGTGTGATGGTTCAAATGTCCGAAAAAAATATGGATCTCCCACAACAATCAGTGACTTTGCTCAAAATAACCGCAAAAATACGAGGCTCCTAACCAATTATTAAAAGATTTGCTTCAAGTGAGGTCACTCTTCTTAAATACTCGGATAGCGCCAATATCCAGTCTGCCATGAAACTTAGTTGAATTGTTAAAACAGGAACCCCACACCTGTCAAGTCAGTCGTGCGAACTACTAAGCACATCCACCAAACCGATGAGATCACACTTACGTAATGGGCCAAGAATCTGCATTGGTCGCAAAAGCATATAGTGATTTCTAGCACTTTTAAGTCGTAGAAAACCTCAATCCTGATTAGTTTTATGTCTCCAGATCGTCACAAGTTTCACCACATTTGATTTGATAAAGATCGCTTGTATAGGCGACAATACGCAGTATTTCAAGACAAAACAATAAGCAGTTAATATAATAATCATTTATGATTAACAACAACAAGTCTACTTGTGGTGCTTGCGCTGAGCCACAATGACACCTTGAAGGTCCTCACGCTTCTTCTTAGCACGTAAGTGGGTGCCTACACGCTTCTTCAGGAATTTGAGAGCCCTCTTATCCTTGGATATGCGAAGCAACTCCAAAACGCGTCTTTCATAGGGAGCAAACCCAGTGATCTCACGGACCAGCTCGCGGACCATCTGAATTACAGATTTCTGCAAAACCGTAGACGTCTGGACCAAACTTCAACATTAAAACAGCTCAACGAATTGGAAGTAAGTCACAAAGAAAAAACCTTACATGTAAGACACAGAAATACCACACTTACAGGACCTATTGAATGAAAGAGTTCCAGCATTCTCTCTAACAAAACTTAGAATTGTAGACTGATATTTCCCTAACCCACCCTCGACTTTTTGCTACAAGCACCAATGCGACGGCTTTGCCGCTGTTTGCGCTGTATCTTGGTCACTTTGTGACCCTTATTGAGACCGACGGCCAGACCTTCAATACCAGGCTGAGACATTCCTATAACAAGAAAAGCGATTACTACTGAAAAGAAAGGTATTCGTAAAGCACAATAAAACAATATATGATAGAAATGAGTGAAACCACGTTCATAACGACTGAACAGCTTTAAAATAACACTTTATACAAATTTTATTGAGCAAATAAGTTCCTAAAACTTTAGAAGTGGCACTACACGTACAACATTATATACGCTATTTCTAAAAACAGACATTCATCTAACCTTGACTTGAATCATCTACATTCTCCTGAATTATTAACCTAATACAAGGTTAGTATGAAGCTTTATTCGGCTCACGTCTAAGGAAGATGTTGAGAAAACTGCATAAAACTTCATATCAACCTTGTGTTAGCTCAATAATTCTATGGTATAGTGCATACATTATTTACAAAAAGCACGGTCCAGCCATACTCTAATGCTTACTATACAATATTTCTAATGACTAGCATGTTCAGGAGCAACAATTCCCGAGAAAAAGTTCACGATACCATCCGTAACCAAACGAGATGGCGTGAAAATATTTAGCACTGGAATTGACCGCCTTGAATCCTTTGGTCTTTCCCATGAAGCCTGAATATTTCCGTTTGCAGAAATACCGTTTCTAAGTGCGCACTTTTCAAGCAATAACTACAATTTTAACCAGAAAACTCAAGCATTAAAGTCGAAACTACTCAGAAACACTTGAATAACCTTTATTTAATTGCTAGTAACACCGTAAAAACAAACCTTGTAAGAACTAATGATAAACAAGGGGAAAAACGTCCCAAAAACACTTCCATTAAGAAGAAAACTATTACTCAGTGTTGAAACAAAAGTAAGAGGCGCACCAAACCCAATAAAATATGGCAGATAGGTTTCAAGCCTTTCAATGCGTTTATGAAGCAGAACACTGCGAGAAGACCAGAAATACTCGAAACTGAAACAGTAACTCGAAACTGCTCCGCCGAGGCCCTTAGAACAGGAAATACTGGCTCACCTGTACATCGAATTCAGAAGCGATAAATGAACAAAGGATATAACAGAACACAAAAAACTTGGAAGTGGAAGATATGACACAAGAAGTCCTTGAGTGAGGAAAACGCAACCCAGAAGCAACGACACCAATAGGTCCGATACAGCCGTGCTAAAACACAAATCATCTCCGCCACGTTGCAGGACCATGACCATCTTACCCACTTTCACCGAAAGAAAACGTCAGGGACCGTTATCTATTAGAAGAAAAACTTATCCGAATGATATAAAACCAAACGGACCTGAATTCCACACTTGGTGGAGGATCGAGATTTAGTGTACGAAGACAAGCGCCAGCAATGTCAGTAAACCATAAAGCAAGCACAATACGAGTAAAAACGAAAATAGGAAGAACAAGTAGATGTGAAAGCACAGAGAAGATGCCGGCCGACATGTCATCACCCGATGAACACAGTTTAAGCACAGCCCAAACAAGAATCCAGACACATGAATTGGTTACTAGACACTGCAGGACACTGAAAGAAAAAAACATTAGAAAGACTAGGAAGACTCCTTGGAGATTGAAAATAGCATTTGAATCATTTTAAAGGAACACTACAATCAAGGATGTAGAAACCCAATGGCTTTAGATTACCAAATTTCCTTAAAAATTTCCCACGACCAGGGTGAAAGACCTTCCCCAGACATATAAATATATCCAAATACCTGAAATCTTTCAAATTCCAAACCATTTATTTCAGATGATCTGAAATCCTCTATTTAACACATTACCCGGAAATAATTTGGCTTTTATTTTCAAATAATAATATCCCATCTCTCAGAGAATTTTATTAAACCGAACTAAAAAGAATGTTATACTCGGCAAAGCTTTGGCAATAATACACAACATCTCTCCGTCCTACAGCAAAAGAACTGCCATTTGTTGAAGATTGAGAATCATTACGTCTTCGTTCTGTTTTCTAGAATAGGGTACCAAAAAGCGAACCGACTGAACACGTACTTTTCAACCTAGGAAGAAACGATGGTACCTTGGAAGGTATCGTTGAACATTGCGCTTGGGTCATGTTAAGACAAACCCTGACTTTACTTGTGCTTTAGTGTCCTATCTACTGTAGTTTTAAAAAGAGTTACAACTGAAAAACGGTATTCTGAAAAAAAAACTACGTACAGTAAACGAGAGGAAGGACAGAATTTTCCCTACAACTTTGTCAAGTTCTCAGCCATTCAAATGCTCGGTTACTAAGAAATCAACAGCACTTCTAGGACAATCCACCCTACCAGGGAATCTTTCAATTAAATCACTACTTACCGTTTCCAAACACGTTCTCTGCGCCGATATATACGTTCAGCAGGTCTTGACATCGTACCACGTTGTTCTCTCCGTTGCTAAAACATTCATAAACCATGCAAAAAAAATGCCCAATGTACCCAATGAAATCGTATCCCACCTGCATGACGGTCTTCGCCGGTGAGCATGGAGCATTGTTGATGACAATATACTCCTCATCCTTGTCTAGTTGAGCGGCAAACTAAACTCCAACTTCGCTTCCCTTCATTCAAGTCACAGTTAAGGAAAGACTTAAAGCATAGAGAAGTAACAACTCACTCTTAAACCTCTGAATGCGTCTATAAATCCTCTAATTACTTCACAAGACACGTTCCACAGAAAATGTGACATTCTAGTGCAACATCTGGAAGAATGAACTTCTGAATGGTTCTTAAAGACATAGAACTTCTACGACTAGCAAACAGACAAGACTGCGACTAAGATAACCCCATGACTCGATATGAAAGTCAAGGAATAGCTGCTACTCCGTAGGAAAACTGTTTTTAGAATCAATATTTATAGTAAAAATTTAAATCGATAATCTGTGAGCGTCAACTTTTACGCCGTGGCGATACGCAGTATTGTACGGTGGATTCCGTCCTTTAACAGTTCACATTTCTATCCGAATTGTTGCTCAATGTGTGAAGCGGATTTTGGTTGCATAAGTTTTATTATTAAGATTACTACTACGATTGTCATCACTATTTAAAACTATCGATCGATTTCGCTTCGGGTCAACCAGTCTTCTCATCCCTCCGGGGTCGAGAAATTGGTACCGGATTTGTCCGAGAAAAAACCACTCTGCAATCCAGTTGGGAACGATCCAGCCTAGCTATCTCAGGACTGCAGAGACAATCGACTTGATCAACATTGTACGACGGTCAAGGTGAAGTGAAAATCTTCAAGCACCAGCCGAAGCCACACGGAGAAGTTGGGAGATCTTCGTGGATGGTGGAGCGGGGAAACGGATCGAATGTGAGAAGTGCTGGGATCTTCGTAATAGACGTAAGGGCGAGTTTTGTAAAATAAAAGGAAACTTAGGGCTACTACCACCGAGTTTAAGTGGAGGTGGGTTTGAAAACCATGGGTCAACAACTGTTTGTTACAAACCTTACCCTTCTTTCCAAGTTTTCATAACAGCTATGATTCTTTTGTTCATTGCTACTACTTGCATCGATTTTATCTCTTCATTTTCTACTTGAAACTATGTTTGTATATGCCAACTTGCATATGATTCACTTTGTGTTTGTGCATTCTTGGCTTTGTATACTTTACATATTACAGTCCTGGATAATGGCTCCCGCACGTAAGGGAAAAGCTAAAGAAGAGCAACCCGTGGTAACCCTCGGACCCCAAGCTAAAGAGGGTGAACTTGTCTTCGGTGTTGCTCATATATATGCCTCATTTAACGACACTTTTGTACATGTGACTGATATATCTGGTATGTTTTCAACGACTAGAGTTTTCTCTCTTTTGTCTATCGATCTATAGAAAGAAAGATGAAACGAAGGACTCGCATGGTGTGTTGGCGAACACGTTGGCACCTGAAAAAGGTAATAGTGTGTTCGATCTCCACGATAAGCACCTGCGGTCCGTAGTTTTGCAAACATATCAGCATCATTGTGGTTGTATCGATCTATAGTTTAATGTGGTTTGAAGGGCGTGAAACCATTGTTCGTGTAACCGGTGGTATGAAAGTAAAGGCAGACCGTGATGAATCCTCACCGTACGCTGCTATGCTTGCAGCTCAGGATGTTGCAGAAAGATGTAAGCAGGTATGTAGTTCATTCATTTGTTACAGTTATCGTATTAGGATTTAAAAAGTTTGCTCTGTAATCGTTTTAGATCGGTATAAACGCTCTTCACATCAAGCTTCGTGCGACAGGAGGTACCAAAACTAAGACTCCAGGTCCTGGTGCGCAAGCTGCTTTGCGAGCTCTTGCTCGTAGTGGAATGAAAATTGGTCGTATTGAGGACGTTACTCCTATTCCTTCCGACAGCACTAGACGGAAGGGAGGGCGCAGAGGGCGTCGTCTCTAAATTGTTATTTGTTATTCAGAATGAAATGTTTTTTTTTTGTTCTTTCCTTTCGCGTTTGTCAATAAGGCAGTGAGTTGGCGTATTAGGTGTGGATTGAACTATCTTTTTCACCAGCCTACCAATCATACGTTATTATCGAAAAGTTTTGGATGTTTGAAGCATTCCAAATCATCGGGGTGGCTTCCCTGAATGTTTGATCAGTGAACTAAATTTAGTTCGAATTAATGTGGTACTTTTTTTGATGTTTGATCATTTACAAGTAAGTACACTGATGTTAAACAAGAGTATAGTGCTGTATCGTTTCTAATTAAATCGTCGAAATCTAGTGAGTTTTATGCGAAATACAACTAAAAGGACGTTGAGATATTTGCAGAACACCGAACCGCAGGTGTTTGCGGTGTGGAGCGAACGCGCTGTTACCCTTAACGCGTTCACCACCACACCATGCGGGTTCTTCGTTTTGCCTGTATCTCAGCTAGTTCTATCGACCAGTGCCATCAGAAATCACCGGTCAACGGGATTGATCTGGAAAGCCTAAATCGGCAATGAACCCAGTTAAGCTGAGGCTGTAGTTTAAATAGCAATGTTCTACTTTTTTAGAAGGCAGCAAATAAGAATTAAAACATTATGGTTTCAACTACAGCTGCAGCTTAACTGGGTTCATTGCCGACTTGGGCTTTCCAGATCAATCCCGTTGACCGGTGATTTCTGATGGCACTGGTCGATAGAACTAGCTGAGAGACAGGCAAAACGTGGGACCTGCATGGTGTGGTGGTTAACGCATTACTGCTCGGAAAGGATAATAGTGCGCTCGTTCTCAACCCCACACGCCTGCGGTCCAGAGTTTTGCAAATATATTAGCATCGTTGTGGTTGTATTTTGCCTAGTACCTTGCCGTGAAAAATTGCAGAAGACATCAAATAAAAAGTGAAACATCTAGTGAGTTTTTTTCAGGTTTTTTTATATTCATAGAGATGCAAAGTTCCATTGCAGTAACAGTTGGGGGTAGTTGCGAAAATTTCCTAGTCATGTTTGTCCATTTTTATTCATATTCGTTCATTCGTATTTAGTGCTTAGTGTTACTGAGTGGTTATCAGGCTTGCCTTACTGACGACGGAAACCGTAATTTTGCCTACTTCCCAATCTCCCATTGTTTTCCTTTTTCGTAGGTTTTTTTTTGAACTCATATTTATTGCATCTGAGCCTTTGAAGTAAAAGGGTTCTACACAGAAGTTCAGAGTGCTGTTCAAGGTCCAAAGTTGAGGGAATGGCGGTTGATGCTTGAGAGTTGTGGATGGAGCTCGGTTTTCTTGAAAAGATCACTTGCTGGAATCAGTTTTTTTTTTACCAATTCGCTTCAATCACGAAATGTGAAGTGGGCAAAAAGTAATAGTGCAAAGGTCCGAAGTAAGGTTTCCGTATTGAGGATTTAGTGTATGAACCTCTGGAGAGGTCTGGTTGCCATTGATCTTACCGTGGTCCAATAATTGATTAAAAGCTAAAAGAATTTTTAGATGATTACTGTTGGAACATTTCAGGCCATCCTAGTCTCAGTTCCTAATTTCTAGTGATTTTCCAAGCATTTTTGCTTGGGAAGATGTACTAGGTAGGCTTGTACATGTCGTACCTGTTTGGCTACACTATTCAACAGCAATCTCAAATGGCCTAAGGTACACGAGCAGTCAAACATTTTTTAAATGGTAAATTTTTCAAATGTTTTAGGCTAGGAAAGGGCAGTCGGTAGCTCGTTGGGCTCTGTGGCTGAGGTTTGCTCTCAGCTGGGTTTTGTTTTGGGAATGTTGAGCTCCTACTCAAAGTTACGTTGCTGGTATGGAGAACTCTTGCTCTACATGACAGAACATCCAATAACTAAGAGCAAGTCCTAGCCATAATGAGATGGAAACCTTTGGTGGAAAAGTGAAATACCAAGAAAAGGTGAAACTATAGTGGTTGTCGAGGTCGACTTTCAGTTAACCTCAGCGTTGGTCAGTAATTTGTTCTCGAACAAACGTAGGGTTGCTAACACAAGATTTGTTCAATAGTGGCTAATGTTTCGGCACCATTGCCTTCATCAAAAGTTATAAGTGTCAAATTGATACCCATTCAAACACTTTCGCAATCCCAACAAGAGCACTAGGAACCTAAATTTCAATAGCATGGGAAGTATCTCTAAGCATTCATCATTCTCCATAGGTCTTCCACTTAAAGATGAGCACCCAGCGCACAGCTTACATGAGTGACCATAGGTAGAGAGCTTATCAGTAAAATATGTTACCTTCAGAAATGTTTTCAAGCGAACCAGACAGCAAATTGTTTTAGAAATGTTAACTTTCTACTTACTGCCTATTACAATTTTTCACGGCAGGTTACTATGCGAAATAGAACCACAATTTTATCCTCTGCAAAGGGTAATGGCGTGTTCGATACGCACCGTAGACACATGGGGTCTAAAGTTTTGCAAATATCTCGGCTTCGTTTTGGTTGTTTTAAAATAATCGCTGAAAAATATGCTTCTTTTTTCGTTTATTGTCGTAAGATTTATCCGATTTAGTGAAATCTACATCGATGTCTTTCAACGTAGCCTCCTTGCTCTAAACCTGGATCCATATCTTTCTCTTTGTTTTCTTTTTTTGTCGGCTGTTCATCTATAACAAGGAGAGTGTATTTTATAATAGTTAGTTTGTGGTGTTACTTACTTACTTGATGCTTGAACGGCCCGTCCTTGCTGGTTGTTCGGGCTCCAGCATAATCACCATTTTTCCGAGATTTGCTGGTTAAGCCATTGTGGTTCCTGGAATCCCGAGGTCAGCCAGGACAAAGTCTGCTCCAGGTCTTCACCACCACAGGCAGTCGCAGCCCTTGTAGATCAGAGGGAGATTTGCCATTATGCGGCTTTGATACCAGGACGGTGGTGGATCCTGCTATTGGTTTTCTCTTAGCTACGCTTCCTGATGAAAACGCCGGACTTCTTCTCAGCTTGGGAGACACTGATGGTGGGGCGAATGCACCACTTAGGAGCACCTCCCAGCCACGATGAGGCGGTAAACCGTTGGGATATGGGAGAGGAGTAACCGTGGTGTTACTTATTAAATAGAAATAAAGGGTAAATCTCTCGGCGTTGATCAATCCTTGAGGGATGCACCATGCATTCGACTTCATTAAGCATTGCTTGGAGGTGAATGAATGCATATGTGGCCTTTTACAATAACTCGAGGTGCTTACCGATGTGCCTACTCAGTGTTGTTATCCTCCCAAACAAGTCTGGTACCTGCCGACCCCGGAGGAATGGAAGGCTTGGTGAGCCTTGGTCGCGGGGATCGAATCCTAGGTGTGTGTTGGAGGGCGCTTCCGACCACTGCGCCACACGCGCCCTATGTTTTACTTATTAGTTGTTATTAATTGTTATTTATGATTCAGTTTACTACATCATCCTCTATCAGCCCATCAACTAACTAATCTTAAGAATTAGCGCTTCAACAAAAATCAGTGTTGTATTCGAAGAATTCGATTCCCAAAGCAGTAAATTTCCTTCCAATTCAAAAAGGTCAGCAACTGTCTGTAACGACCACCTTAGAACCTGGAAATTTACGAGTTATACGAATCACAAGTATAGAAGGATAAAGGATAAAGCATTCTGCATTGATCAATACCTGAGGAATGCGCAATGCATTAAACTCAACCCCTACGTCGTAGTGGTGATCGAATGCATATCTGTCCTGTACAATGACTTGCGGTGGCCTACAGATGTATCAAATCAGTGTGTAGTACGAATCTGTCAATTCCGGAGGGATTGTAGGCTTGGTGATCCTGAGCGCGGGATCGAAACCATGTGTATTGTAGGGACCGTTAACCACTGCGATACATGCACTCATCTCATCTATGTATATCAATATCTGGTGCATACTGTGGTAGTAACGTTGCTCCATTTTACAAACCTTTGAATCGTACTCTGAGCGCTCAGCGTTCCACTACATCAGATTAAAAACAACGTTACTTCACTGAGTAAACTTGTTGCCGGCCATGCGATTGCACGACGTTTACTACCATGTGATACCGTACCCTGCAAAGAAGGGTCAGAGATCTTCAAGCTCACGTAGTCGTCGATTAAGGGTGGGCTGTGGGGTTGTTTACGATGCCACATAGTTATCGATTAGGGGTGGGGTGTGGGGTTGTTTACGCAAGTCCTATTTCCCTCCCATGAATCGGGGCTTGGAGCCCCTCATACTGAAGCGTCAGAGGTCGTGGAACGACCATTCTTCCATTATGGTGGCCAGTTTGCTGTATCAACAGCAGAATTTCTCATGCCGACTACCGATAATGACATAACGGTAACTGTTTTTTTAGCAGTAGCGAGGATTTTGCGTTATGTATTGGTACTCTATCGATGAGGATAGTGTGCGTGCGTGGAGTTTGGAATCATTAAGTACTACAAATCCTTCGTTGTTCTTTCTGTTTTCCACATTTCTCCTTCTTTGTACTGACGCTTGGGTAGCGTTACATAATGCTTATTTAGAAGGAAACGCTTGCTAAAATCGCAAGTACTACGTCAATTCGTCGTGCTTTGTCGTATTTCTTTGGCATACTTGCACACTTGGATGACCCGTCCTCACAGAATGTGCAGGCCCCTGCATAATCTCCATTGAAAAATTTTGCTGGTTTAACCATTGTATTTCTCTGGAGTCCCGAGCTTAGCCAGGCGAAATTCTGCCCCTGTTAGTCACCACCGCAGCCAATCGCCAACCTTGTGGACCAGAGGGAGATTTGCCACCATGGGACGGTATCGGGTCCTGGTACTGATTTATTCTTAGCCAGGCTTCATGATGGAAATGCCGGACTCCTCAGCTTGGGAGATCCTGCTAGGAGGGCAAATCCCCCGCTGTAGATCGCAACCTGATACCCATGAGCACCTCCCAGCCACGATGAGTCGGTAAACCGTTGAGAGGATTTCTCTGGTATAGTCAGAAATTTTACTGCTTTCTCTAGGTTACTGGTACATCATC